AATGCAAGTTTTATTCATCCGCTATAAGTTTTCCCAACTAATCGTTTTCCTCAACTAAGAAATTTGCGACTAATCGAAGTAATATCACTGTTCCTGTGATGTCGAACATACGCAGCAAAAAATGCACATGGTCAAAAAGGTCTCGAAATCAGTAAAACGTATTTTCATTTTTTCTAACCCGGGTCGCGGTCATGGTTTTATGTTCAGACCGTGTGGACCAACATTTGGCATGTTCAAACCGTTGGGGCCAGAATATGGATACGTTCAAACCGTGTGGACTTTGAACGTACAAAGACAAACTTGAATTTTCTTACAAATCATGTATTGGTTTTTCCGTAACTTCGCAAAATCTCTCAGGTAATGCGAGTATGTGAATGTTATGATCACAAACTTTTAAATTTTGCAATACCTTCTTCAAAAATTATAGCTTCGCCTAATAGCAGGAAAGGAAGAACAATTCTTTATTTAGTTTCCATGAGTTAATAGTTTTTTCCGAGGCTAAAAATGCAAGTTTTATTCATCCGCTATAAGTTTTCCCAACTAATCGTTTTCCTCAACTAAGATATTGTCGACTAGTCGAAGTCATAAAACTGTTCCTGTAATGTCGAACATACGCAGCAAAAAATGCACATGGTCAAAAAGGTCTCGAAATCAGTAAAATGTATTTTCATTTTCTCTAACCCGGGTTGAGGCCATGGTTTTATGTTCAGACCGTGTGGACCAACATTTAGCATGTTCAGACCGTTGGGGCCAGAATATGGTTACGTTCAAACCGTGTGGACTTTGAACGTACAAAGACAAACTTGAATTTTCTTACAAATCATGTATTGGTTTTTCCTTAACTTCGCAAAATCTCTCAGGTAATGCGAGTATGTGAATGTTATGATCATAAACTTTTAAATTTTGCAATACCTTCTTCAAAAAATATAGCTTCGCCTATTAGCAGGAAAGGAAGAACAACTCTTTATTTAGTTTCCATGAGTTAATAGTTTTTTCCGAGGCTAAAAATGCAAGTTTTATTCATCCGCTATAAGTTTTCCCAACTAATCGTTTTCCTCAACTAAGAAATTTGCGACTAATCGAAGTAATATCACAGTTCCTGTGATGTCGAACATACGCAGCAAAAAATGCACATGGTCAAAAAGGTCTCGAAATCAGTAAAACGTATTTTCATTTTCTCTAACCCGGGTTGAGGCCATGGTTTTATGTTCAGACCGTGTGGACCAAAAGTTAGCATGTTCAGACCGTTGGGGCCAGAATGTGGTTACGTTCAAACCGTGTGGACTTTGAACGTACAAAGACAAACTTGAATTTTCTTTACAAATCATGTATTGGTTTTTCCTTAACTTCGCAAAATCTCTCAGGTAATGCGAGTATGTGAATGTTATGATCATAAACTTTTAAATTTTGCAATACCTTCTTCAAAAAATATAGCTTCGCCTATTAGCAGGAAAGGAAGAACAACTCTTTATTTAGTTTCCATGAGTTAATAGTTTTTTCCGAGGCTAAAAATGCAAGTTTTATTCATCCGCTATAAGTTTTCCCAACTAATCGTTTTCCTCAACTAAGAAATTTGCGACTAATCGAAGTAATATCACTGTTCCTGTGATGTCGAACATACGCAGCAAAAAATGCACATGGTCAAAAAGGTCTCGAAATCAGTAAAACGTATTTTCATTTTCTCTAACCCGGGTTGAGGCCATGGTTTTATGTTCAGACCGTGTGGACCAAAACTAGCATGTTCAGACCGTTGGGGCCAGAATGTGGTTACGTTCAAACCGTGTGGACTTTGAACGTACAAAGACAAACTTGAATTTTCTTTACAAATCATGTATTGGTTTTTCCTTAACTTCGCAAAATCTCTCAGGTGATGCGAGTATGTGAATGTTATGATCATAAACTTTTAAATTTTGCAATACCTTCTTCAAAAAATATAGCTTCGCCTATTAGCAGGAAAGGAAGAACAACTCTTTATTTAGTTTCCATGAGTTAATAGTTTTTTCCGAGGCTAAAAATGCAAGTTTTATTCATCCGCTATAAGTTTTCCCAACTAATCGTTTTCCTCAACTAAGAAATTTGCGACTAATCGAAGTAATATCACTGTTCCTGTGATGTCGAACATACGCAGCAAAAAATGCACATGGTCAAAAAGGTCTCGAAATCAGTAAAACGTATTTTCATTTTTTCTAACCCGGGTCGCGGTCATGGTTTTATGTTCAGACCGTGTGGACCAACATTTGGCATGTTCAAACCGTTGGGGCCAGAATATGGATACGTTCAAACCGTGTGGACTTTGAACGTACAAAGACAAACTTGAATTTTCTTACAAATCATGTATTGGTTTTTCCGTAACTTCGCAAAATCTCTCAGGTAATGCAAGTATGTGAATGTTATGATCACAAACTTTTAAATTTTGCAATACCTTCTTCAAAAATTATAGCTTCGCCTATTAGCAGGAAAGGAAGAACAATTCTTTATTTAGTTTCCATGAGTTAATAGTTTTTTCCGAGGCTAAAAATGCAAGTTTTATTCATCCGCTATAAGTTTTCCCAACTAATCGTTTTCCTCAAATATGATATTGTCGACTAGTCGAAGTCATAAAACTGTTCCTGTAATGTCGAACATACGCAGCAAAAAATGCACATGGTCAAAAAGGTCTCGAAATCAGTAAAATGTATTTTCATTTTCTCTAACCCGGGTTGAGGCCATGGTTTTATGTTCAGACCGTGTGGACCAACATTTAGCATGTTCAGACCGTTGGGGCCAGAATATGGTTACGTTCAAACCGTGTGGACTTTGAACGTACAAAGACAAACTTGAATTTTCTTACAAATCATGTATTGGTTTTTCCTTAACTTCGCAAAATCTCTCAGGTAATGCGAGTATGTAAATGTTATGATCATAAACTTTTAAATTTTGCAATACCTTCTTCAAAAATTATAGCTTCGCCTATTAGCAGGAAAGGAAGAACAACTCTTTATTCAGTTTCCATGAGTTAATAGTTTTTTCCGAGGCTAAAAATGCAAGTTTTATTCATCCGCTATAAGTTTTCCCAACTAATCGTTTTCCTCAACTAAGAAATTTGCGACTAATCGAAGTAATATCACTGTTCCTGTGATGTCGAACATACGCAGCAAAAAATGCACATGGTCAAAAAGGTCTCGAAATCAGTAAAACGTATTTTCATTTTTTCTAACCCGGGTCGCGGTCATGGTTTTATGTTCAGACCGTGTGGACCAACATTTGGCATGTTCAGACCGTTGGGGCCAGAATATGGTTACGTTCAAACCGTGTGGACTTTGAACGTACAAAGACAAACTTGAATTTTCTTACAAATCATGTATTGGTTTTTCCGTAACTTCGAAAAATCTCTCAGGTAATGCGAGTATGTGAATGTTATGATCATAAACTTTTAAGTTTTGCAGTACCTTCTTCAAAAATTATAGCTTCGCTTATTAGCAGGAAAAGAAGAGCAACTCTTTATTTAGTTTCCATGAGTTAATAGTTTTTTCCGAGGCTAAAAATGCAAGTTTTATTCATCCGCTATAAGTTTTCCCAACTAATCGTTTCCCTCAACTAAGAAATTTGCGACTAATCGAAGTAATATAACTGTTCCTGTGATGTCGAACATACGCAGCAAAAAATGCACATGGTCAAAAAGGTCTCGAAATCAGTAAAACGTATTTTCATTTTTTCTAACCCGGGTCGCGGTCATGGTTTTATGTTCAGACCGTGTGGACCAACATTTAGCATGTTCAGACCGTTGGGGCCAGAATATGGTTACGTTCAAACCGTGTGGACATATGAGATCCAGTTTCAGACTGCGTGGACGGAAGAAATCTGACTTTTGCAGACTTATGTTTCGACTCAAAGAACAGACTTGGCAGATTTTTGTTCAGACGTGTGTTCAAAGGAGTAAAATGTTTGGACAGGCAACAATAATTGAAGAGCGAATGTTAAGGTTTTATTCATCCGCTATAAGTTTTCCCAAATAATCGTTTTCCTCAACTAAGAAATTTGCGACTAATCGAAGTAATATAACTGTTCCTGTGATGTCGAACATACGCAGCAAAAAATGCACATGGTCAAAAAGGTCTCGAAATCAGTAAAACGTATTTTCATTTTTTCTAACCCGGGTCGCGGTCATGGTTTTATGTTCAGACCGTGTGGACCAACATTTAGCATGTTCAGACCGTTGGGGCCAGAATATGGTTACCTTCAAACCGTGTGGACATATGAGATCCAGTTTCAGACTGTGTGGACGGAAGAAATCTGACTTTTGCAGACTTATGTTTCGACTCAAAGAACAGACTTGGCAGATTTTTGCTCAGACGTGTGTTCAAAGGAGTAAAATGTTTGGACAGGCAACAATAATTGAAGAGCGAATGAACTTTTTCAAACAATTTTTGCTTGCAAAAGCTGATGTTTCAAACAGACATTTTAATTGAGATTAAGACAAAGTTGCATGCAAAAATTGAACAAAATTGGCAGATTGTTCGCTTTAATTATTTCTGTCCGAACTTTTTGCAACTAGATGTTCAGATTTAGCAGACTTATGTTTAGACTTCGTGGACTTATGTTTAAACAATGCAAACTATGATCTGCGATGCGACTATGATTTCTTGGTCCCATAGTGGATCGAATTTGTTTTATAATATCTGAACATAAAAGTACGACCTCGACCAGGGAGAAGGTTATTCAGATTAGTTGCTATCGGTCAATGTTATCATTTTGATCAATTTCTTAATGAATTTTGTTCAAAATGGTCTTTAGAAATCGGAATTCTGAGAATAAGACCTGAATTTGCGTTTATTTTTGTCCAATAATGTTTTTTTTTTAACTTATCACATTCAACTTTTATTGGCAGTTATTCTAACATTCTAAAATATTCTAATGCTCTGAGTGTATTGATGATGAAAATCAATGGTTTGTGTACATTTTTTAATTGAGATAATGAATTCGGTAATGAATTCGGTTTCTGAGAACTAATTGAAAAGAAGTAATTAAAATGTTAAATTCATTTAATTGGTCCCGTCAACATCGCAATAAATTATGAGACAAAATTTTTACAGCTCTTTCAAAATGACATGTTATTCAGCAATTGTAAACTATCCCAAAGACAAATTTGAATTTTTACAAATCATGTATTGGTTCTTCCGTAACTTCATAAAATCTCTCAGGTCACGCGAACATGTGAATTTTAGGATCATAAACTTCCAAATGCTGCAATAACTTCCTGAAAAATTATAGCTTCGCCTATTAGCAGGAAAGGAAGAACAACTCTTTATTTAGTAGAAAAACCTTATTTGTTCTGTAAATTTACAAAGAAAGTTTGATTAAGCGAATTAAATAATTAATTTGATCAAATTTCTGGTAGCAATTTGCCGATGCTGCAAAAATCCTCTAACAAACATTTCACAACCACCAAAATAATCACGCAGTTACGACTCAAGCAGTTATTAAATTGATTTGATGCATTCATTATTCAGATGCAAAGAAAAATAAATCTGAAGCGCTCGATTATATAATGTACTATCTAATTTAACTCCCGTTGATAAAGCAACTTGATCCTTGCCTGATTTTTTTTAGCAGAGTTCATTGTTTTGTTCAGTTCAAAGCACGAAATTCTTCTTGGTCGTTCCATTCGCTTCCATTTCATTCATTTTACCTTTTTCGCCGTTCTAGAAAATCACTTTGACCAAACTCGTCACCACAAATGTGATTCCCAGCGAAAAGAAAACGTCTGGATTTCCTCTTAGCTGGTAGTTTTTCAAAAACTGAGCCAAAGAGTCGCAATCCGGTGTCGTATTATTGTTTGCCTCACACAAACCCAGTCCGGGGAAGTCAGAGCCATTCATGTATTTGCAATAGAGCTCGTCATCGAAAAGTTCACTAGTTATTTCCAGTTCACTTATGGCTGTAGTTGGCTCAAAAACACACCGCACGATCGTATTCTCTTTAGTTTTTGCGCAAAGTATGTTTTTTGTGTTCTTTCCGGCCAGCCGCAAAAACATGTTGTGTCTGATTTTGTTTTCTGCTTCGCAGACACTTTTTCCCGACACGTTTGCTGCTTCGCCTGGGTATTTGTATGTCGACTCCAGCCATTTCTTCACAGCAAGTTGAGTTACATTGGCATTGCCATTCTTGCTATCGATACAATATGTGCTGCTATAGGTGTCCGTTAGATTGTTCACGGCAGATCTTGCTCCTGTCTTCTTGCAATCGTACTGCTCAATTGCATTTTTGATACTAGCAAGTCTCGATTCATTATCGTTTTTCGGAATGTTAAACGGCGTTCCTAATATCAACTTTGCGTCTCGTAGAACATCTTCAGTGCAGTCGATTATCTTTTCCTCAGGAGCTTCGTTGGTTCCATTCGGTTTCGTTATAGGAATATCTGCATCTGTTTTGGGATCGTCCTCCGACGAAGCAGGTGATTTGACCAAATCGGCCGCCGCGTCCACACGAAGATCATCCAAGTCCTTAGAACCAGGCACTGACCTCTTAGCTCTGTGAAATAATTTATCGTAGACTTTTGCAGCAATATCGGGTGTCTCGATCACCGACCTGACGTCTTGTTTCGAAACATCGACGCAAAAAAAGACAACTAAAATGCAGCTCAGCAACAGAAATCCAGACATTTTGATCTTGCGTTGAATCTTTAAGTTTCGAAACCAACTTAAAATCAAGTGAGTTTTGGGAAATGTTTGGAAGTCGAAATTTATTCACGTAAAAAGAACCAAATGAGTCAAAAAATCAATTTTTAAGCGGCTAAACCTTACATTCATGAAATACTAAATGATTTTTGACTTCATTCAATGCAAAATTTTGGTGCATAGAATTGCAAAAAGTTCGGACAGACAGAATTAATTAAAATGAGCAACTGTCTGTGATGAGCAACATCAACGGAAATTAAAACTGAAATTAATAAAACGTCGAAAGTTCATAAAGCAGAGTTTTCGCTCAAAACCTATAACCACGGTGGTAATTGTAAACCTTGAAACAGAAAATTTATTGCTCATAGTGGCTTATTTTTTTCTGCGATTAGTTCCCAAATTTTGAATGATTTGATCATCTTCACTTCCGTTTGTTTTTTTTGAGGCGGCCTGATCTGTTTTTTTTTGTAATGAAAATAACTGTAGCTTTCGATTTTTTAACTAATTTTGTTGACAGCTTTATAGTAAAATCTGAATGCTCATCGCAGTATTGAAAAATTAGGCTAGCATAATCATCGGACAATCGACGATCTCGCATTTTGAATTTTGTCTGACAAAAAATTCAAGGTTATTCGGCTTCAGATTTTGCAGGCAAAAAACGTCGAAAAGCAGTCATTGCTCATTTTAATTAATTCTGTCTGTCCAACTTTTTGCTACTAATTATAATAATGGTCATTTTTTTGAAAGGCGGATTTGAAAATCAGAAGGATTGCTACCTTTTCTGAACTTTGACTTGCATGAATTGGTTGACTGAGCGAAATTCATGCTCAGTCAACCAACGCATGAATTGGTTGACTGAGCGAATTGAGTTTCATCCTATATTTGGAGTTATTTTGCCTCGACAGCTGAAAAAAATAATTAATTTGGATTTTTTTTAGTTGTTTGCCATTATTGTGAAACTGGAATCAGCCAAAAGGTCTCCTAGTCATGACGCAATAAACAAAAATTTAATTCAAAATTGATTTTCCTGCATCTCTTGATGCATATTTGCACTGAAATTTCTCCTTAAGAAAAAGAAAACATGCGAGACAGAATTGACTTGGATCTGTAATTGCTAGTAAAAACTAAGAAATGAATGCTTTTTTGAGGATTCGATGTTTGAGGGCTATTTGATATGAAAACTTAATTGAAAACAATCGCAGGTAATATATCATTTTAATTATGAGCTCAAGGCATTGCTAACGTCCGACTTCTTATGAAAAAACTGCCGAATAAAATGGATATTCAAAAAAATCGACAAAACAAAAACTAAACAGCACATATAGAGAGTTGCAAAAAGTTCGGACAGACAGAATTAATTAAAAAGAGCAACTGTCTAGACATCAACGGAAAATAAAACTGAAATAAACATAACGTCAAAAGTTCATCAAGGAGAACTTTGCTCCATAATTATAACCACGGCGGGCAATTGCATCCACAGCGTCGAATAGTAAACATTGAAACAGCAAAATTACTTCTCAGGGTGGCTGTTGTTTTTCTGCGGTTAGTTTCCAAATTTTAAATAATTTGGTCATCTTCACTGTCGTTTGTTTTTTTTTGGTGCGGTTAAATCAGTTTTTTTTTCTTCTCTGTTTCGTTTTGTAATTAACTCTGCTAACTGTTATATAGTAAAATCTAGATGTTCATTGCAGTATCTAAAAATTAGGCTAGCATAATCTTTGGGTATCCGACGATCTCGCATTTTGAATTTGACCTGACAAAAAATTCAAGGTTGTTCGGCTTCAGATTTTGCACGCAAAAAAAACTTCAAAAAGCACTAATTGCTCATTTAAATTAATTCTGTCTGTCCGAATTTTTTGCTATTAATTATAGTATAATTAGTAGCAAAAAGTTTGGACAGACAGAATTAATTAAAAAGAGCAATCTAAGTAATTTTTGCAAGCAATTTTGAGCAATTTTTGCAGGCAAACTTTAGTTTTCAGGTGGCCTCGAGTCATATTTTTTATCTGATAAATTGGCTTTTGCATGCAAAAATTTTCTGGAATAGGTCAATTGCTCTTTTTAATTAATTCTGTTCGTTCCAAATTTTTGCAACTCTCAATGTTCTGGACAATTTTTGCATGCTTTTTCAGACAGAAAGTATGTTTCTAAGTCAACTAAAAGTGCATGCAAAAATTTCTAGTAATCTGCCAGTTACACTTCTTATGTGTTCTTTTCTTTTAAAAAATAGCTTGACAGTTCGCTGCTGAATGAAAATTGTTTCAAAATTAATGACTTGATGTTAAAAATTAAAAAAAAACTGAGCTCCCAAAAAATGCAATCACACAACATGAGTTGTCCTGTCCATTTTAGTTTTTTATGAGTTATTTTCAAAACTTATGCATCAGATAAAGTGTTTTGATGTTTGATTTCACAGAATGAAATGAATAAAATTATTTTCAATTTGAATGTTCTGTAGGGATGAAATTTTTTTTGAACTATTTTTGCCCAGCTTTTGGAATAATGGTTTGCAATTTGAGTCAAAAATGTTAAAAAGTATGTTGGTATTTGGAAATAACTTTTCTTTTTGTCTCCGAGTTACTGCGGAAAAATCGGTATTTTGTGACCATGCTCAACTGTGCTCGACCGTGCTTGAGGTACACTTTGACCGTGTTTAAGGTATGTTTCAAATTAGTGCTCGACCCAAACCCCTGTCTCGACTATTCTTTTTCGGCCGAGCACTGACATTTGCTCGATTTTGAAAAAATCGAAACATTAAGTTAGCACCTTTGTGTATCAATGCTACTTTTCAATTTTTTTCACTGCTTCACTGCTGAAGACTTTTCAGACTTCATTTAATGCTATTTTTCAGTTTCTTTCACAATAAAGTGAACGAAAAAGATCTCAAAAGTCAGTTTAAGAATATATGAATGTTTGAAAAGCCACTTGACCTTACTCGTGTGTTCACGATATCATGTTCCATTACGATTTCCGTTAATATTTATTTCAAAATTTTATATTTCAAAAAAGTTCGCTTTTTGCAACATTCATAAAAAAACTCGAACGGTCAATTTCAACATCCAATATGGAGGCAAATTCAAAAAAAAACCTCGCTCATTCCTCAAAACGCTGGGGCATTATTTAAGTTGTCTTTTTTCAAGCAGTTCAAACAGCTAAGTTTTTTGCTGTTAACAGCTAAGTTCAAACAGCTAAGTCAAGCAGTTTAAACAGCTTAGTTTTTTGCTGTTATAACATCTCTTTATACCGAAGTTTTTTGAATAGCCTCAAGATACCAAAACATGAAGCGAGGCAACTAATAGTTTCGCATTTTTTGTCAACACGCGTGATGGTCATTGCTCACGAAATTTTAATTTGAAGACTAATGAAAAAAAAATTGATCAGGTAAAAAACGTGATTGAATTACTTTGTTCGATTAAAGAAACTTTTGAAGCAAACTGGAATTTTTCTGTTTTTTAGAATCAATGCCAAAAGGACTGTGTCTTGATAACTGCGAACATTGCCATAGGGCGCAGGGCCACGAAATTGAGTTGTCCAAAGTAGTGCAGTGATGGAATTAAGCGTATGCTTCAAGAAGTATCAATTAGTTGTTTTTATTTTTCGTAAAATTTTCTATTTTTAATTCGAACACGAGAGCAATGTGAATAACTCTAGGATTACTCATGCGTACGTTTGGCATAATATCAACTGTGGAATAAATGGGTAGTCATGTGTAAAAAGTCTTTGACCTATCTAAATTTGTCTCGCCTGCTTTGCTCTAACTGATTTGGTTTTAACTTAGTTAGGCAGCCCATATCAGTTTATTTTGCCTCAAAATTGCTGAAAAAACAATCGGGTGGTTAATTAATATGTCAGTTGACCGAACGCTTTTAGAAGAATGTCAGTTAACCAAACTTTTAGAGTCAGAGTATGAATGAAAGTTCTTATTCGAAAAGATCCTATAGTTGGACTCAATGTCGAAAAAAATTGAGTTGGGCGAAGCATAGAGCCGAAGTACAATTCAAAAAGTAAAATCGAGTCAATCGAAACAAATAGTCGAACTCAATTTTGAAACAAAAAAATGAAGGACAGTTTTGAAATAATTTGGATGTTTTTCGTTTAGAGCTTTAAGTTGGAAATGTAAGGGTTCCTGCGTTAGAAAAAGTAAGTTTTATGAATATTATTGGTTATTTTTTTTCTTTTACAAAATTGAAGTTTACCTTTCTCTTGAATAATTTATTGAACGTGCTCGAAACACAAATCAACTCGGTCGTTTTAGCCGAATTGTTCTTCTTCTTTTGATGCGGTCGAATAGTTTTTCCTCGTCAATCCTAGTCTAAACTTGTCAAACTTGCGTTGAGACAGTTGAAACATATCGCACTTAGGTGGAGAGTCTTACAGGCTATAGTTACCTGAGCGTAAGATTGATTTGTCATTAAGTTAAGTAGTACAGCAAACAAAGATTTGAGCTCTGAATAGTTCATTCTTCGAAGATATCGACCCTCCTATGCCAGAAAACAAATTTTGACAAAATCGGCGGCATAAGGTTGTACCGGAGAGCCTTTAAGAGTCAGAACAGTTGTTAACTACTATTGAGAGTAGTTGGTTCTCAGTCAGAGAAGAGAACAATTGATACTGAGAGAGAGTTTAGTTGGTACTCCGTTAGTTAGAGAGAAAAATTATTGCAAGCGAATCGAGTAGTTGGTTCTCGAAGTAAGAGAACAACTGTAGCAGAAATAGTAGTTAGTTGCTTCTCGTCAGAGATTCTCTAGAGAGAGAATAGTTAGTGTTAGTGGAGTTAGTTGGAAGTTATTGCAATTAGGCAATTTGACCGATAAATCGCGGACCCTTTCCTTTTTATTTGATTATTAGATTATATCCTGGCCACTCAGAGCCTTCTGCAATTGGACATATAATCATCTAAATTAATTTATCATTGGAAATTATTGCGATTGTATCGAGTAGACGAGACAAGACAGCCGAAGAGCAAAACACGGGGCAAGCAACATAATACAATACAGAATAGTTGCCATCAAAATAACCCTTTCGGGAGTTTAGATAGTGGTGAATCTCGGTCGCCCACTGAATTCACTGTTCAAGGGACGACTTTGCGGTGCCGTTAGGAAAGAGAGAACGAACCTAGAGAAGAAATCCCCTAATTCTACAGAGACGGGTCAAATTATACCAATCTTTGCCGAGTCGTTTGAAGCACAACTTGCAAACTTCACCGGGTATTACATGCAGATGCGGTTTTGAATTTTTCCATACAGATGGAAATAGGCAGCTAAGGTTTCCGTGCTTTCAATGTTTTTGCAGCAGTTAGTAACGAATGTTACTTTTTTTCTAGAAGGGGTGGAAGGAATTTTTTTCATCAAATTTTTTTGATGCAGTGAAAATTAAAAGTTTTTTGTCTGCTTTACTTTAACGGCACGTACCTTCTTTCTTACAGCTTTCACTGTAGGTAAAATTCATTTGATTTATTCTATTATGTTTAAATTTGCCAGCACTAATTTTCTATAATTTTCAATTCGGCTTGAACGGTTTCGGTAAGATGATAAGATCAATTCGGTTTGATTGGTTTCGGCTTAAATTATATCATTTTAATCCCCTACAATGCATTGTTTTTGAAAAACAGGAGTTTTTGATGCTTTTGCTCCTATTGGCGAGGCGTAAAACTTTTTTTAAAATTAAATATTGACATGGTGTATTTAGAAAGATTTTTTTTCGGCTCACCTATGAATTTTTAGCTTAGTTGCCGAGCAAAAAATTTTTTGAAAAGTTTTCCCAACGCTGGAGATTATGTTTCTCGACAATTTTTTTTCAAATTGATCTCTTGTACATCTATAGAA